TCACATAGATTAGCACCAGTTCAATTGTCCAAGCAGTTGTGATTATAAAAGAAATCCAGTCCACTTGAACACCCAAGTCTTTCAGTGTCTGCTGAACTTTCTTTTTGCCTGCCTGGCCTCCAATTCCCCCTTCAGTGGCGGACGGACCGCCACCCCTGAGCGATCGGCCAGGGGGCCGGACCGCTACAATATTACAAAGGTTTTACAATAAGAGTATAGTGACCTCCAAAGAGTTTTCCCTAAAGAACAACCGGAATTCCCTGGAATCTCACCTTGTAATGCGGTGGAGCAGGAATATGGTTCGCTTGCTCTCGATGGTTACATCTCGGCTCAGTTTGACCAGCCGCTCGTGCTTGTCGTGCTTGGCATCCAACTCCGACTGGAAGACCCTTACAAGTTGAGAGGAAGCCGCCGAGAGAAAAAGAACAATTTGAGGCAACAGTGTGCACGGTGGTGGAAATATGTGCTGGCACATAGGCAGGATGGGGAATGGCTTAAAAATCATTATAACACTGGTATGCTGGCCATGGAAACTTCAACAGCAGGAGGGGGCAGGCACTGACCACAATAAACTGACCACTGTGGTGTGAAACACATAGTACCCTCAGTTTCGCCTAGGGTGCTATGAGTCCCTTGGGTGTTGAAACATATTCCACATCACAGTGGTCAATAACTGTTTAGTTTATATACATATACGTGTCTTGAATTCTTTTGCAATGTTTCCCTCGAATGAGGTCTCAAATGTAATCGAAACGAGTGTCTCCGCCCGTTGCTGTACAGCAAGTTGTACGACTCAGCGCACTGCCATATCAGTTTGATCGTGTTGATCACACGGGTCTTGCTCGAGGGCAATATCTTTGCCTCATCGTAAAAACCATTCTTTGGAGAAGAATTTGCATGTGCCTTCCAAGTCAACGGACAAATTTGAAGAGTGATACACCCTCCATCCTCCCGGGATTTACACCCAAGGGTGCACTGACTGAAAATCTCATCAAGTGATGCTGGGCACACATGATCCCTCAGTTGTACAGCAACTGGATTGCAACAGCTTTTTAGCTAGCGAGCCATGCAGCCATGTGTAATCTAGATCCCAAAAAATGTGAAAATAAAATCTGAGCTAAAATTCAATCTTTTCCCATGCTTTTTCCTGGCCCCCATCAACCAAGTCCAACATAGAAAATATGCTGCAGTAAAGCATATGTACGCTGGGACTACGGTTCAGAAGTTTGGTTTGAACATATCAATGCCGGTAGGCGGGTTCCCTTAAATGTACAAATAATGAACTACAGCATCGTATCTATGAATTTATAACAAAATAAATACAGGGAGCCATACTTGTTCAACAGCAATCGATCGTACACATAATCAACCTCAACCTATGGTAATCGTTAGCCGCCATATTGAGCCCACTCTCACACAAGGTAGTCCATGGGGACGAGGTCGACATATAATCGTTTCGGGGCTTGCGCTGCTTGCTCACAATATCATCCAGAATGAAACGAAAATTAACAGAATTTCTTCTCGAAGGCAAGGGCTGGCCTACACGTAATCTCTGTTATTGTCAATAATCAGCATAAAGCTTGTTTAGGTTCTTCTACCTTAACGATGGAAAAAATTGTCAAACTCTTCCGATGCCATGTTCAGACTCGTGCACAGGTGTGAGCACGTGGCCTGCCTGTGGTGTACGTGTGTGCGTGTACAGTGTGCATATGTACACGTACATGTACTACGCATGTGCAACATATTTTTTCATCCACATTGTACATGTACATACTGAGATTCATTTTATATTATTATTTATTTTTGTTTGCGTATCACATAATAATCTGAATGTACTGTATTGCAAACAAAAAGGCAGAAAAACGTTTGTCAAGTACTACTGAATAAAGTGGTTGCGAGAAATTTGTTCAAAGGTGCCGTTATTCGCTTCTTTGTTGCAGGGCTGTTTAATCACACTATATAAAACAACAATTGCACACGTTTTACAGTTAAATTTTTTTATCTGAAAACTGTTATTTTTTTGTTTGAAAAGGCAAAACTCTCAGAAAAAAGTCAGAAATTCATCAGAGACCACGAGAGAGAATCTAAAACAGGCAGAGCTTCCAGGTCCCTTACGCAGGCCCTGTTTCCCCGCTGTAAGGAACTTCGCGCTGCACGCTTGTGTTACGTGCTTCGCGCACAAAGTTTCAATGCCAACAAGATTGCACTCCCCGTTTTTCATTTCGCACTCCCCCTTTTCAAATCCTAGCTAAAACACTGAACTGCAATTTACATTAGCTCTTTCTTGCCGATAGCTGCTTCAAGCTAGCATGTACATGTACCTGAATGTTTTGACAACTTCTGAATTCTCATCTACTGCAGGCCTGGCTCCCTTGCGTACTTTCTGGCTTGCTGGCCATGAATCATCTGCCTGTGATCTCTTCATAGGTCCTAAAAACAAGCACTTGGTGAAGTCAGTGTAAAAAATTACGAGTTTTCTATTGAGATTACCTGCACCTTTAATTCCAGGACTGACTGTGGCCACTTGAAATTGGCCGAAGTGATGAATTTAAACTTCCTGTTGGTCTCATGCCTTAACAACAAACCGCAATACATTCCATATAATTTCAATAACAATGGTGCATCCCACAGGGAGATTCCCCCAGAACTATGTTAACTTTTAATCAACCCTATTTTAGGAGTTAAAAAGCCCCTGGAGCCATAGCGACCTCCCCCTTATCTTGTATCCTGCTGTTTCCCACTACCGTATACATGTAAATCAACTTCATCTTCTCTCTTACCAACCACCTCTTTGTCTACATACATGTATATACATACAATATGTACATGTGTTAAAATCTTCTCCACTTCTCCCCCACCCCCCGGTGAAGGTTGCTTCATGTAAAGTTAGTGTCCGCATCGGACACTTTTTGGCATGACTCTGTTACACGCACGTCCCAACTTTGTCCACTGCCCCAACTTTGCTGAGTGCCAACTTCAGGCTTGCCCAACTTACTTCGTCTACACCAGTTGGGGTAGAGGACAAAGTCAGGCCGTAACAACAAGCGCGTACAATCTACGTTTGCTGAGCATGCCCAGTGCATGAGTTGCAATCCAGCCATCTACCGTATGCAAAAAGTCTATGGGTCATGACAGAAAGTGTTTTCAAAGAAACCTTGACTTTTTTTTCACTCCTTCATTACACGTAGTGCCGTTTTTACTTCATCTCCAGAATCTTAAGGCGAAGGCAGAGTGACAAACTCCATTGATTCTTCTATGTGTAGTTCTCAAGTCCCTGACCGTATAGTCGCCAGGTCTTCTACCACTTGCTATGAAAATCAATCGGACTTGACAGTAGGTGGCAAAATTAGGGACCTGGCGACTATTTGGTCAAGGACGTTAGAGGTTTCATCAGATGTACACTTTTCTAAGTAACTTGAAGTCAAGACAGGCCTAAGTGGTGGTGGGATGCGGAACTCTTTCCCATACATGATTTAAGTGGATGGGGGAGATGCACCTACATGTAGCTGGTGTCCCCCCCATTTTTCATATTTTTAAAGCCATTTTTCCTAATTTTCAACTGGTAGGCCTAAATATAGAGTTACGAACATTTCTCAAAAATATTCCCATTTGCATATTTGGGTTTCCCTCCATTTGAAATACCCCTCCCCCTTTGTGAACACTGAGTCCCCTCCCCCCGCAGCCACCTTAGGTCTCACGCTGAGGGACGGATGTGAAGTTAGTTCCTTGTTTGACGTTCGACATTCAATGTTGAACAAATAACCATTTGATATTCGAACACTGAATAAGTAACCGTTTGACATTCAGGATGCACATTCCTAAAAGTGATGGAGTGCAAAAGGGACCCCTAAAAAATCACATTTTGCCGCCATGCACATCCACCCCCATGTACCCAATTTACACTGAATGCCTCAAACCACACTTTTCTCAAATCGCAATAAAATACTCAAACCCCATGCCCTGCCTGAAGATTACATTCATCCTGATATCATTCTTCTAATCAATCAGAGACGATTCCTTGCAACCTGGGGCATGGCAGGCCCGTAGGCTGGGGGGGTTCAAACGGTCGCCCCCGCTCGCTTCCGAGTTCCACTCGTTGTCGGAATTTTTTTGGGGGGTAATAAATATATAATTTTAATATACTACAATTTTCGGAAAGTAAGCTGCAGTTTATACATTGATTCTCAAGCAGAAAATATCTCTGCGGTTTATCATGTTTATAATGAACTGCAGGTGGTTTATATGGCAATGTGTAAAGAATGAAATCAGTCACTAAATGCCGCTCCATGCCTTAGCGTAGCCTAACCTGGGATGCCGCCGCAGCTGACCAGCCACGCATACCAGCCGCCTGGCACAGTAGGGACAGGGCATTCATGTTTTCATTGGTTGCCGTTTACATTGGCTCTACTCACGAGTTGGAAATGAAGGAAACCAGGCCACAACGACTGAATAGACTTGTAAATGCACCGTAAGTACTGTTCACACCTCAAATATTGTGTGGTACATCTGTTTGTTTTTGTCTTTTCCGGTTGTGTCATCGATGTTGCTTATCATTTTACTGGTCTCAAAAAGAACAGCTGCATGGCCTACCCAGCGAGGACTTAGGACAAAATCCAGTCCACTAAAATTGGTATTTTCAAGGACTCAAGAAAGTTTAGGCACAATGAAAACACTTGTTCGTGCGCTGCTTCACGTTACAATAACAATGCGCACCGAAAAGTGGCGCGGACCCTGTGGACACTTCGAAATTTCACTTCTAATGTTTGTGTATGGAGCAATATTTTATCTCCAATTTTGCCAAAGGTGAAATTTAATCAAACTCCAAATATTTTGATTCATAAATGTTAATTTCATATACCCGCTTCAAAGTTCAAATGACATGTTAATATGGTCTGATTTTCCGATTTTTTTTTGAAGTGCAAAATGAATTCCCCCCCCCGAAAATATTTTTTTAACCATTTTTTAGTTAGGTGAGTGGAGGTAATAATGATTTACTAGAATGTATCACTTTCTTAGAAATTCTGAAAGTTTTTGTGGGATTTTCTGAGATATTTTAATAAAAATGTTCATTCCATTCGTTTGCCATCACCCAGTGCCCAATTCAAGGTGCCGGGTGAAGAGCCAATTCATTACCAGGCCAATTTACAATACGCCGTGAATATTGAAACTGAAGTAGGGGGCCTATGCAAGTTTTACATCCATCCTGGTCTCTGGTCAGGCCTGCATGGGGTTCCTCCGGGTCAAAAAAGCCCTTAACTTAGAAATGTAGTTGACAAAGTTTTTTTGTTCCTTTTGCACTCCATTGCTTTTAGGGATTTGCATCCTGAATGCCAAATGGTTACTTATTCAACATTCGAAAATCAAACAGTTACTTCTTCAACATTGAACGTCGAAAGTTAAATGAGGAACAAGTAACTAGGCCTAACTTCACACCACTGCTGGAGGAAGGAAGAGAAACATATGCTGAAATGCTGGCAGTGGCATGATAATGTTACGCCCCAACTAGACATTTCCCACAGACATTGGTCAACAATAGTTGGGCCAGCCCAACTGCAGCACTACAGTTGGGACTGTCCCAACTATAGTTGGGCTCACATGTACATGTGGCCTATGCTATAGGCATGATACTATGGGGCTTAACAATAACATGCTGTGTACAAACATCACATGATTAAAACTAAGAAGACCCTTTCCCAAAAAGACATTCCTCTATCTTACCCTTGGGTCTTTTCCCATCATCCCTCCGACGGTCGGAACGGACCATGCTTCTATTTCTAGAACAGAGTTCCCAAGAAAGTAAAACTTGTTAAACATGCAACATTCACGACATTTATAACGTGATGCGTTGAGCATGTTGTAAGATACACATGTACATGTATATAGTCTGGTAACTTCTTTTCAACCATTTTTCCTGCACAGTTTGTATAAGATTTGTATGGAACCCAGCCACTACATTTATTGAGTCAATTGATCGCGCGTGTCGACACCTGACGAAGGCCGGTGGATGTTGCACACACTGCATGCATGCAACTTGCAGTGGAATTGGCTAAACCGACGATGATGACCAGGATGATTGATGCTAGAAAGTAATCTAACCCCGCCCGTTTCCTTTCAATTGCCAAGTCATGTTAATAGTTTATGGACTAACATCTTACCGACGTTTCAACTGTTTGGAGTGTTGCAGAAAATCTGAGCCATGGCGAAGCAGTACGACATTTTGATTCGCATGCTGATGATTGGTGACTCGGGTGTGGGCAAGACGTGTATGCTGTGCAGGTTTACTGATGAGGGATTCATCACTCCACACATCTCTACAATAGGTTTGTATGGGAGTGGTGGTGGCCCGGTGGTGGGCGGGGGGGGGAGGTACATGTACAGTGCTGTAATGTCGAACAGAGGTTTGGACAACAAAAACAAAGACAGCAAAACAAAAAAGGGAAGAATTCTACATATACTACTTGTAAGTAGTATATACTACTACTACAGTACTCGTAAGTAGTATATACATGTACATGTACATGATCATTCTAATTTTTCCTAAAAATTACGGTGTAGGCCTGCCCTACATTATGTATCTAGCTGGCCCTAGTATGAGCCATACAGTGTAGCATTGAAATGTCCATTAAAGTCCAATTTGGTAGGGAAATTAACTTAGAAAATACTTAAACTTTTTCAGACCTGTCTGATACAATTTGTGTACAGGGTGTCAAGTGGCATCCTGGAATTCTATTCCCCAAATCAAACTGACTGGTTGACAAAACAGAGAAGGCAGATTTAATAAAATGGACAACATGTTATGCATGTAGCAAGGGCATGTACCAGACTGGGCCTACCAGTACATGGACAGTAGGAGATTTGTTAGTCCACTTCTTTGTTGAAATGAAAGAGGCATGTACCGAAGTGTGACATCACTGTGAACCAGAGAGTGCAGTGCAAACGAATGGAGTACGCATGCGTTTTGGTCGGTTCACGCGCTGGTTCTCGTGCTAATGCCTTTTACACACTAATTGTGCACGTGACGTATTCACTTTGGTACCCTACATGTATATGAACCCCACAATGCTGGGGGCAAAGGGTGTGAATATTGCTACAGGCATGACAAAACTGGCTGTTTACTGAAATGATGCCAGCTACATGTACATGTAGGTCTATATTAAATTACTAGAATGCTAACTTCTCATTCTCTGCGCAGAGAAAATTTGACACTGTCCTGGGCACAGACATTTTTGAATCCATGTGCATGCTTGTAGAACATTCACAATTGAATGGAATGAATATCGAATTATGTACTGTACTTTGAATGCAACCAGGTACCGATAAAATCTGTTTAAAAATAATCATGTCAAAATTATCTGCAGCACATACGTGTACACATTTGCGTTGCTTATGCACAGCAAAATAGACACTCATTTACTGATTGTGTATTTACATATACATGCCGGTTGTTGTGCATTGACATTGTTGACGTATCATTTTAGAATACAGATGCAATAGCTGTACAAATGCTTTAAAAAATTTTGACTTTTCCTTAGATTTGTGCACAAACATGGATGCGCCCTGCAGGCATCACTTTGTACATGAGACAGCGCGCTAGATTTTATACATACATGTACATGTACCGGTACCTCTGTGGGTGATGCTTACATGTATATCAAGCCTTAAAAGTTACACAAGTCAATTTTCTGCCCTTCTAATGTCTGTGACTGCATCGTAGTTGCTAGGTCCATCATTTTGCCACCTACATGTATGATGTCTGGTTTGTTCTCACAGCAGGAGGCAAAAGTTGGGACCTGGTGACTATACAGTCATATGGACGTTTCTGCTGTACGTTATTGAATTCTGAAAAAATTGTGTATATGATCAGTGGGCTCTGTAAGTTTGTAGCAGAAAGGCTGCAGGCTTGTGCCTCAAGTGAGAAGACCACGCTCAATGTACATGTATAGAAGTACCTACTATTAATTTAGTCCTGTCGATATGGGCAGCCAAACTTTGCAGAAATGTCACCCTTGGTTTTGTATGTTTCACCTCCAAATGTACCTGTACATGTACACGTACACGTACATTTGCCCTGTTACTTTTAAAGAGGGCCATATTTTCATGTAGTGATAGTTAGTGGGTATCAATTGTTGTTTGAAGCTAGTTGCTTGAATTTGAAAGTTTCCAATGCTTAGTGCACAGCCCATTTACCAGTTTCAGGCACTGGAGGTCCACAGTACATGTACATTATGTACCAGCAAGGGGGATACATCATTGGAACTTTTGCCAACAGGGAGGGAGAACTGTTGGGGGAGTGGGAGGGGACATGACCCCACCATCGTATCAGTGAAGGGCCTGGGCAACTCTTTAGCCACTGTTGGTCCTGGCATAGTGAGTTATTTATTTGGTTTTGTACCAACTGTTAGCCTTTGTTTGACCAGCCACTCACCTGTAGACAAAAGGAAGACCAGACCCTGTATGCCACTGAACTACATGTACAAATATGTATGTGCCAGTATTCTTCTTATTCACATAATGCAGCAATGCAGTGGGCATGCATGAAGACTAAATAATTGTGAAGAAGGGAAGGTAGGCTTACATGTGTGTATGTGTACTATGTTGGGTTCTGTAGCAAGAATCCCAAAATGTAAGGCATTAAGACCAACAGGACAAGAAACTGGATGGCTCACAAAACAGGTCTGAACATCTTTCACAGCATCTGGGTGCCAAGTTTCTCTTTCTTCAGGTTATGGCCAAACTGCCAAATTGGGTATGTTGTGCCTATGGCTTCAGTTTTGACCACTGATGTGCTATGTTAAACACTTCCCTTTCTAAATAGCTGCCAAGTTTCAACCCAATCGGACATGCACTTACATGTACATGTATATATAGAGATATAGCACTTTAACGGATGCACCTTTAATGTCACGTGACTCGTCAGGTTGTGACATTGTCATCACTTGAGGTCAGTCTGTAGCTCCAAGCAGTCTAAGCACTAGTCTTGGACGATGCCATTCACTGAACTTAGAACTACAAATTATGCCACTGTACATCAATATACATGTACATGTATATCTCTTAAAAAGTTGGTATACATAAAAAGTATACCAAGATAAAAATTACTGTAATAGCAAAACTACTTTATATATGGGAAAGAGAAACATACCTCTAGAAAGGGCAGAATGCCCTCTTTGCAATGGTATACAGCTTGTGATGTTATTGACACAGATGAGTGAACAAACTAGACCAATGTTAAGGGTACTGAAATCTGGCACTGTGACAAGTTTGCATAAGTGATTAACAAGGCTAGACCATGCAAGTGTGCAGAATACCAAATGCCTTTGCTTTAAGAACGCATTCTTGAAAACAAGGAATGTACCTAAATCAATCTTATCTGCTTTGTTTTCGCTACTTACCTCATCAGTTTAATGTGGTAAGTCCTCCACATGGCCACCATTCCTGTCAATGCACATCTGACATCTTCGTAATACAGATGTACGTCCCCTACTGCTCGTCTGATCATTTCAAGGTCTTGACGGAGATTATTGACTTCTTCCACTATTCTTGCACGTTAACTCCTGAACATTAGCTGAGGGCACAGTGAAAAATTGGTTCTGCAGGTAACACCATAAAAAGGAATCGCCTTCACCCCACATGCTGACTTTTTTTAATCACATTTATGCAACTTGTCACAGTGCCAGATTTCAGTCCCCCTAACATCGGTCTAGTTTGTTCACTCATCTGTGTCAGCAACATCACAAGCTGTATACCATTGCAAAGAGGCATTCTGCCCTTTCTAGTGATATGTTTCTCCCATATATAAAGTAGTTTTGCTATTACAGTAATTTTTATCTCGGTGTACTTTTTATATGGACACCGTGTATAGTGTCTGCTGGTTTAGTCATAGGCTTCCGATTTTAAAATGCTTGAAATTGCAAAAGATTGAAGAGATATGTATTAGATATCTCAACTTACTCAGCCAATTGAATATTCATCCCCTATATTTTCTATAAATTTGTGAAAAATCTGTTTGTTGTAAAATGATTTCAGCAGGTTAGCTTTTGTTTCATAGGTTTTTCTGTACTTGGGGCCTCAGTCTAAACTTTCACTTCAGCTCAATGTGAAGAACCATTGGACAGTCCTCAATGGAGAGAATTCCATTAATCAACAACATGCTCAAAAATGCAATGTAAACCAGTTCAATTGATTCGACCTCTACTTGAGTGGTGTTGCAAACATTGGTTTGTCTCAGCTGGTGTGTTTGTGTACCAGCTGTCTTTCGGACATGTACATGTAATAACTGAATACTTCTCAGTGCACTGAACTTTTCTGTTATTGGGTCATTTTTTCTCCATGCCACGTTTGGACAGGCTAAAGAAAGGCACCATGATGGTCAGCCAGATGGCCATTGGTAAAGTGTACTGTCTTGATATCATTGGAGAAAATCATGGACTATTCCCCATGGTCACACTAGCGTAACTGCTATAGAAACTGTTTAATTAAAAATGTATGGAAAATTTGAGTTTCTAAGGTGTGAAACAGTTACATGTAACATGAGTTGCAGTTACATAACACAGTCATTTGTAAATTCTCAGTGTTGCTTCCGTGTGAACCTGTTAACCAAAACAAAAACGATTTTAATTTTCATGCTGAGGACAACACCCACACACCTACATGTAATGCACAATTTCAAAAGGGGGAAGGGAAGTTAACTACATGTACATGTACATGTATGTGTGTGCACATGTCAAAATGTATACTAAATATACAATATACATGTACATGTTTGTCAAAATGTCAAATGTACATGCATACATGTACACGTGTATATTTATGTACATGTACAAGGCATCAGTGTGTTTTGCTGGACCCAGTTGGATACATGTAGACGTACATGGACATGGGATTGTGGTGAGCCCATTCATATTATTGGAGCTTGCCTAAAGATACAAAGGCTGATATTATTGATACCATTATGCAGAAAGAAACACTTCCAAATTGGACTTTGTTGCATTTTTTCCTATCCATAGAGGTCCTGCATTCCACAGATATTTGGCTGGGTCTTTTTAGACCCAGTTTTAGTGTTTTTCTTGGTTGTGTATACATGCACAAATACACTGTATATAAAAGGGGTATTTCAGGGTCTTCACCTTAGTTTTGTGTTTAACCACAAATTTTTTGGGATAATATTTTAATACCGATATAAACATCAACTGAAACCACATTATTTTACAAAGCAGGATTCTGTTGTATCACTCTGGTATAAATCCATACTTAGGCTGGTACATGTATTCATTTAAGCACATCACTGCCATTGTACAGTAGCTGTTTGCAGCAGTCAGTGAGTTCTTTAGATGTATTATAAACTACGTGCACATGGTTGTTGTCCCCAAGTCTGGCATGTTCCACTCCTTGCCATGTACATGAACATGGAGGAACTAGGATATTTGGACATGGTCATTGTTTCCATTGCAAAGCCCCTGTCAACTAGCAGTCTAATATTCCTACATTATGGTCAGTGTTTCCATTACAAAGCCCCTGTCAACAAACAGTCTAATATGCTACATTATTAATCTTTTGGCGCAGACTCAAATGGAAAACAGTATGCATTGTATGCACAGTATAGATGCATTATATATGTATCTATTTCTGAACCTGTATCATAGTTTCACTTTTGTATATATACTTTGCATGAGACATATACATGTATGTAAATGACCCTCTAGGGCATCTTTGTTGAACGTCCTTATAATAATGAAGGTACATGTACATGTGTGTATATTGCATTTTTTCCATTATGTATATGTACATGTACATGTATATACACTGTATGTACCAGCTATGTATAAAAATAAACGTATGGTGTACCATACATGTACAGTACTCAATTAATGATGATTAAATGCCTGGGGGTAATCCAGTAAATGCATGTGGTTGTAGAACACTGCTCTAAATGTTACATACATGTATTTTTATAATCTAACTGTTTTAATTTTTCTTAGCTGTTAAAAAGTACATGTGTGGTATAACAACAGAGGTACAACAGGTGCATTACATGTATGTTGGCAGTACACATGTTTTGTCAGTACAGTTGGTTGTTTTGCAGTTTGCCTTGTGCCTTCTACCATGGAGGAAGGAACACAGTCCTTCCTCCATGCTTCTACTGAGCAGTACAGAATCCCTTATTGAGTACCGAAGTGACTACGTCACGCGCACAGTTATGTGTATAGAAAGCATTAACGTGAGAACCAGTGCGTGAACCAACAATGCACTCGTATTCCATTTGTTTGTACAGCACTTTCTTGTTCAAAATGACATCACACTTTGGCACTTTCTAGCACACAAAATACTCATACAAATGTACTGCTATGTATAATGTAAGGACAGTGCATACATTCTTAGACACATACACTGTACAACTACATGTATATATCCAGGTACGGTACATGTGAGTACCGGTACATTGTTTGTGTTCATACGTACGGTACGGGTATGTGCATCGTCAATTCGGTTTCAGCCACGTCAAAGAACTGGCCATTTTAACTTGCATTTCTTACGTGTAAGAAAGATTTTGATTTGTACACCTTCCATGCCTTCAAATGAACATGAATGCCCTGTAAACCTCTGTGGAGTTGCACACACCTTTGAAACTGCTGTGCACCTGACACATGCCCTTCCTTAGCGATCATGAATCAACCGCACCCATAGGCATCTCAAAGCCCTTTTTGTGTGCATTCAGTCCTCTTGGAGTTCAAACCTACATGTATGTGTATAAGTTTCCACAAAAAAGCACAAAGCTTGACAGACATGTACATACATGTACCGGTAGAACCAGCACACCAAATGGTGAGTGTCATTTGTGCACCTTTTACCGTTTACTGGCTGTGGTCTACATGTATGTGTAGGTATTGTTTTGATGTCCATGGTTACACATTACTGTCTACTAGCGGCACTTCAGTTATTGTTTATAAGATCTTGTACTATTTGACATTATCTGCCCCCTCCCCCCACACACAATCGAAGGACACAGTCTGATTGCTCATGCAACACATAATGTTTGGGACGAGCAGTCAATCAGTGCGGTCCCATGATTGCATTGCTCTATAGGTTGATCCAGTATAAAATTGCTATAGGCTGATGGGGGATTGTCAGCAAATCATACAACTGTAAGAGTGACAGAACAGGCAAGTATCAAATGATTGCACAGGTGGACCAATTGGTGCCCAACACATGCATGGACTACATACCAGCACATATTTGTATTCAAATGTATCCCAATGGCAGACACTTAGACATTTTTATGCACGGATAGCCAAATGACAACTGTGATTTTTGTAATCTCAGCCTGAGTGCAAAAAGTTTCTGAGTTATTTCTGAAATACATGTAACTGTGTTCCCCAGTTTTCAATCAATTTTAATGTAATTTTTCAGTTTTAAGGCACAATGACATACAGATACGTACACTTATTTTCCGTCTTTTCTCTGTCCGCAGGTATTGACTTCAAAATGAAAAATCTAGAATTAGAGGGCAACAGGATCAGAGTTCAGATATGGTAACTATGAATTTTTTTTCATGAATTAAAATTTAGAATGAATAATGCATTTACATGTAAATGTACTCCTACGGCACAATGCTTATGGTATAGTGATACATTCCTGTATTGTATAGATTATACTTGCTTCAATTGGCTTGAATCCTGGTCAGCGTTAAACCCAACAAAAACCAATTAATGATGGGCACTTTCTGTGCACAAAATTGGCCTTGCAATGCTGGTACCTCGTACTTGACTCTGATAACCAGTGTTTTCATCAATGACGGTACTGCCAAGTGTAAATTGACTGCTTTGAGTGGCTACTACATGTAAATTGCACAGTTTGGCTTTTGATAGGTGTATGCCTGTGGTCAGTTGGTAGACTGTGGCTGTTTATTTCTTTGATCCTTTTTAAATGCTTTTCTTTTACCTCTGGCATGTTTGAAGGGATACAGCTGGTCAGGAGCGGTATGATACAATCACCACACAGTACTTCAGAAGGGCCCAGGTAAACCTCCAATCAGTTTAGTGAAATCACCATCCTTTTAATATCCCATCAGGACCCTAATTCATGGGGCAGCTTTAAGGGTACCCAGGAGAAAGGTGATGTCTGTTTCTTGAACAGCAAGAATGCATTGGTGAATGTCTCAAAAGTGGGAACACCATAGTGCAATTATTCAACAATCAGAATTAGATGCCGCTACTGCGGTGGCTCAGTGCTCATGGACAGGTGGTACCACACCCCTTTTCGACGAATACGGTGTCCTGATTTGCCACATGCGCAGGTGCGTCAAGCTGAAGAATGTGCGTGCGAGTGAGATGCCGTCACACTTATGGCACCTTATCAGATGAGTCTACAGATCATTCCTATTCTGATGGGGAAGATGTGTTCCCAAATGGGAGCATTGATCAGAGCCTTTCTACTGCTTAACAGGGAATGGCCTGTTCCTGTTTGGAGCACAGTGAAATTCCACAGGGAACTCGCAGTGTTCCATAAGAGAAGATTCCCGGAGAACAGAAACGTTCAAACTTTGGAGACCTTCTCTTTTTTCAACTGTACCTGTGCATGTACATGTATGTTTGTCGCATCATGTTTTCATGCCTATTTTAAATTTGCCTTTACAAAGTCAGTATGACCAGTGTTAATATGAATCGTGTAAATTAAAGTCCAAAATTTTCTGCTTTCTGAAAGTCAAATTCTTCTTTCTTCCACTTAATACATTTTAATATACATGTACATGTATGTGACCAAAGGGTTATCAGATAACCCTTTGGTTACATACATGGACTGTACATATGTACTGTAGGCCTGCATTTACCGTACATCTACAGGTATATTTGGCATAATGATACATGTAGGGCCTACACGCACCATGCCACTGTGATCTTGGACTGGTCCCCATCCCTATTGATTTATTCATGACATGAGACGTCTAGGCACTATGTAGGGAACGGGGACCGGTGTGATCTCCGCGGTGCGGAGCCGGAGGAAATCAATACCGATTTCTGCAATATTGCAAAGGAAAAACAGGAGGGGAAATGCTTCCAAATGTTACTTTCAAAGTGAATTAAACAGTGAAAACAATCACAAATATTTATTTGTTTTATTTATTTACTTTTTTTAACCGAGAATTGCCTTTTCCGCTTTCTACCCCCAAATCCGCAATTTTTGCAGATTTTCTGCAATGCAGAAACCTCTGGATTTTAGTGTAAATTAATGAAATCACCACCTAGAAGCTTTTCCAAACATTTTGACGGTGTAGTATATAAGTTATATTTAAGTTTCACCTTTTATCTCCTCAGGGTTTTATGTTAGTTTACGACATTACAAGTGAGGCATCATTTCTCAACATTCAGAAGTGGATGACAATGGTAGCAGAGGTATGTAGACTCAGCTATTCTTGTGAATATTAAGTCTATTACACAGAAAGACAGTCAATATCTCAATCATGACAAGGGTGGGTCCTGAACCAAATTTTTTTTTGGGGGGGGGGAAACTTGATTATTTGGGGGGTTCAAAAATTTTTGGATTTTTTTCATGCAGCTTTGATGCTTTTTCTTGAGGGTAAGGCTACATTTTTGGGCTTTGTGCATATTTTGGGAAGGAAGAGAAATGAAAAGAGCAAAATGAAATTGCCTTTCTTTTTAAAATTTTGAAAAAACACATAATAATTTGGGCTCCATTTTAAAGGAAGCCATGCCCCCGTTGCAACCCCCCCGACCCATCTGCCCTTGAATCACAATGTATTGAACAACTAAAAACCTGATCTACCAGTAGGTTGTCTTACCAGAAGCACTCTTGAAATAGTAGGAATTCCCATGTCAACACTTTTGCATGGAATCTGTTGATAAAAACAAGTTACACTAGCAAAAGTTTTTGACATTGAATACTTGGAACATCTGGAAAAAACTGAATTCTGTGAACTGTGTTTTTTGCTGGTCATGGCAAAATATAGACTTCTTGTACCAGGCGTTACAGATGCCTCGAACATTACATGTACATTTGCAGGTAGTACCCCGGCACCTGTTGAGACAACAAGGGGAAGTACATGTAGTTATTGGATAATTTGAACAATTCTTGTTACACATGTGTATATATCGCATTCGATGCCTACTTAGCTACCGGTACTTGCACCATGCATAAACCATTGCTACTTGTGCTTTTTTTCTTCAATCTGTCAGCACGCAGGCCCAGATGCAGACATGTTTTTAGTGGGAAACAAAAGTGACGCAGAAGCATTAAGGACAGTATCGTTTGAGGAGGGTGAAAGGGTGAGTACAGGTAAAGTTAGTCTGATTCTGCTGCAGTCTTTACCTATGGCAAACCAGCACATTGGTCCAGTGTGATTTGTGCCAGGTATACACGGAGAGTTTTCCCACATCTGGCCAGTCTCTCCATCTTTGGTCTTGGACTGTAACTTGGTATATTTAGGCCTTGGAGGTGGGACCCTCAAACTCAGTGCCACTCCATTTTTTGCCAAGGAAATGTCCAATTGCCTTACAGTGCATGGTGCCAAGGATTGGACCATTCTTATCTGGTTACACCTTTGCATGCAGCATACATTTGATCCCTGAGTCATTCCTTGCATGAAGAAGACCTTCTTTGAAGTGTTTGCTTTTGTTCCATAGAGATATACATGATATAAGCCTATATATACATTCAGGCTTCTTTGAGCATTCATTGTCACTGAATTTTAATACCGACCAGTACCTCCAAGGTGGCATCTGTATGGAAATGGGTGGTTGGTTTGAATTTTCTTGGATGTACTCTTGATAAGCCAAGATTTCTCCACAAGTGATAGTAGAATACTAGGCAGTGGAGGTATATGTATTTCAGAAGCTAACCAGAAATGTTGACATGTGTGCAAGTTTACATATGTCCTGGTAACTGAGGATTCAGGGTAGTACAGGGAATCTCAGTAACACGTCAGCTTGGCTTGGAATATTTTCCATCTTTAGTTCTGTCAGGTCAAGAGTTCGGTTCTGTGAAGAATTTTCTCGCATACTTTCTGAATTCAGTTTTAAACTGGTTGAAATGATTGCATGTGACCAATGTCTGTAAATACAAAGTAGTTTTGTACAGGTGATGCAAATCAGTCAAGATCTCACATCCTTTTTTGATTTGTTGAACAGTTTGCCAGGGCCAATGGAATGTCATTTATTGAGACCAGCGCTCACAACAGCTCTAACATACATGAGGTATGTGTTAAATGTTAACATCCCTGATCTCTTTAGTTTTTCAACAAGACAGGGTGTCTGGTGGCTTTTGTTGGTCACCTTTTTCAATTTTCCCTGATAATGTAAACTCATCATTACCCATGATTCATTTGTCATCCAGGCATTTGTTATGCTCACCAAGCAAATCATGAGGAGACGGAAGAAATCCATTGACCGGCAGATGGAGAATATACGACTCTATGCGCGGGAGGACAGCCGAGCTGAGACAGAGAACCCGACGCAAGGCAAATCGGCTTGCTGCTGATGAATGCTCCTGAATCCTTCCAAGTCTCTTATCAGAGTGTTTTTTAATTACCTTGTTTTTTAATGTAGAGCTGTAGAGCTCAATGGAGTTGAGCTACAGGGAAGACTGTATTTTGGCCAGTTGCCTTGTTCCCATAGGAAACATTCCATTTCCAAGTTTATAAATTGTGGTTTATATCAAGTGCAACCACTATCAAACAATTGTGCAAAATTATGTGAATGCATGGAGCACTTTATTTTGTTTGAAAAGTCCTGAACGTGCACCATGTAGAATGGTACATGGAAATGACGTGTGCTCCTATCTCCTCTGACGATTGCATGTCACATACACAATAATGACAGTTACTGTAGTGGCTTTGCGTAATAGCTATCTTGAAGGGTAGTTCTTTTGTTCCACATGGAAACCTCATTTTTGCATACCCTGTGGAACAAAAGCACTTGCCTGCAAGATGGCAGCCGTGCAAACCCTCCATTGGCTCACTATATTTTTCTGTGTATCTTTGCCCCAGTGCTGTCCCACTGTGCTGCATCACACCTTCATACTGGAAGGCTTTTATCAGACCTTTTTTAGCTAAGTAGCCGGGCAAATTATTATTTATTTTTTGTACCAGCCTGCAGAAATTTCACTTGCCCACTGGACAATTTTTTTTGGCAAAATTAACCTTGACTGGATTTTTAAAAGTGCATTATTTCAACTGTTATGGTGGAATCGCGCTGTCAACTGAAAACTTAAAAGCATAGGATTGAAAAACTGTTGCAACTGACAATAACCAACAGGTACACTCCAGTTCAAAAGATAAAGAATGCATTTTACTAGCCCTCAGCAATCTTGACCAGAATTTGCACACTGGTCTAGTGTTAAGGTCGAGATCTGCTTTTGTGTCTTTTGTAGTCCAGGCAACTTCAGTGAAAGTTGGAGGGTTAAATGCGTGTGTCACATTCTAACATGATAAGTTATTGAGACCAAAAGAATTAAAGTTTTGATATAAAATGCTGTAGAAGGACGAGCATGCACATAGGTACAGAAAAAGGAGTCCTTGAGTCTCTGTGAAAAGGATGGCAAAGTGCTGAAATTTTCTAGCTTTTGCCAAAGTCCTGGAAAACTTCTGGAGAAATAGAATTCAGTAATTAGTGTTCTCCCTTCCCCTCACCTCCAAGGCACATTTTATAGTCTGACAGTGCCTCTTCCATAAGAAATAGTTGGCAGTGTTTGTGCTTTCCCTGCGAGTGAAGGTAGCCTAATACCAAAAACCATTCCAACTTCAGTAAGTCCCGGTTGTATAAAAATGTGAGTTCTTTCCAATGGGTCTTGACTCCTTGCTCTATATTTCCACTGACTCTTCATAAGAAAATGAATGAGTCAGCTGTGTGGCACGGGGTTAGAAAAAAGTTCCTTTCACTAGGGCAGACATTTTCACATCAAAACTGCATTTAATTTAGTCTTTGGTGCTGGTGGTCTGTCTTTAACTCTTTCCTGATTGTCTTAATTTCTTCATGAACTTTTACATCAGGGTAAGTTATTTATTATATCATAAATATCCATTATTTATTCTATTTATACTGCTCTTGGATACGTAGTGTCATTTATCCAACTTGTAGTTTTCATATTACACATTCATGTTCTTGTCACACTATTTTATGAGAAATATTTGTAAATATTTGTGCCAAATTATTGACTGCAAGGATGTCACACACTTCAATTCTACTATCCGAATATTTATTTTATCTACTTAAATTTCATATTATAATTTTCCTGTGGCTTCCGGTTGGATTTCAGGGTCTGAGTGCATTTGTGTATTATTAAAGGAATCATGTGTACATGTGAGTGACTGAAGCATTCGAAATCACAAGTATTTTTCAAAAGAATTGAAATAAGTAAAAAGTGCTTATTAATAACCTTGCCATGGATACCCTTGAATATAGTTTAATAGTTGATGAAACGAGAGAAAACACATACATTGTGCATTGTCAAAACTTTGTCAATGTTGAGAGTAGTGGCTCACATCGGTTATCTTGAATTCATTTCTTTACATGCATGTGCACAGGTCTTTAGAAGCAACCATTGACATGTTCTGTAGAGTGAAAATGTATTTATACATTCATGTACTCAATTCAAAAAGAAAACCTTGTTGCTGCCATTTTTGGACAAATGATTACTTGAAATGGCTTCAGCGATAGTTATCCTGATTCGATGGATTGGCTTGTGGACAAGTATGTGTTTTATTTTGTACATGTGTATGTGATGAAGCCAGTCTCCAAGTTGTGCAATGACCTACGTACTCATTCTGAACTGAAGCACATGGTGTTGGGTCTCTTCAGCACTTGCCCTTTTCCCCAATAGACACCCAGGTACAGTGAATATAAGCCTCAAGGGACTGTATCATACCTTCCTTCCCATTGCTTTCAATGAGGACAGTCTCTGGCCAGTGGGTTGCAATGAATTACGGGATCTGCCATTTCTCAAGATTTGGTCTCTGAGTTTGGAATATCCTCCACGTACAGCAGGTCACAGGTTTTACAGTCTCAGGTCTTGCCAGTACCGCACTCAGTTAACGAAACCTGAAAATTCTTGTTGCGTGTATAATTGTTTTCCTCCCCCACACTGCCCCACAATTAAACTGCTGGGATGAGAAATTAGTTCTCTCATTTTAAAGCACAAGAACAGGGTTCCAAAACTATTGTACAAGCAAAAGTACACTGGGGTGGGAAGCTGGTCACTCTAAAGTGACGGAAGAGGTGTTGAAGTTGACAGATGCCCCTGTGTATTCTCTATTACTAATACATGTACATGTATTCATTTCAGTGTAAATTGCAATATTTTTCTGAATTTCATGTTCACCAGACAAAGTGAAGGAACTGTACAACAGTGATGCAGTTCTTTAATGCTGAGCCTTAAGCTTGATTACAGGCCAGAAGCCTTGACCTTGAGGATCAAAACCTTTGCTCCAACACTGCTGTATAGTCATTGATCGGATAACTTCTGAAGCTATAGGTACTCACCTCCCAAAGGCAAATGTGGGTTCTTTATAATATGAGTGGTGGTGAGCTTGCTGTAAAATTGAATGCTTGATGACACGAGAAAGAAAATCTGCCAAATTCTTTACTGCCAAAAGTGTGCCTTGAAGGGTTTCTTTGTTCTATCTCATTTCAGTTTCTTAGTTTTATTTTGTTTGGCTTACATGGGTCAAAGCTGAAAGTTGCCCAGAGTTGCAGGAGCATTTTAGCACTTGTGTCTTTCATTTTAAAATTGTTGCATTTGTACTTGATAGAAACCCCAGGCTTGGGTACACAAGGATACCTTAATGATACTAAGGGACACAAGTTACTGTGGATTGACGTAGAGGTTTTGTTCAACATATTTAATACCACGTCCACTCTGTTACATTGTACTTTAACATTCCACACCTTCAGAATGCTCATTTTTTTTCAGAATTCCTTAATGCCCCATGTATGATGGAACTGATTAACCCTAATCCTCCTAGATCCTTCAAAATCTCCCAGGAAGTCTTTTGGAGGATGTGCAGATTACAGGAGAGGTATTGCCTTATGACTGTTACTTTACATGGGACTTAATGCCCTTGAAATTTTAAAGTACAAAGATTGTGCCATCTGGTTCCTGACGTGGAGCATTGATTCTGTTCTTGAAGTTTACAAAATTTGAGTGACTTATTCAACAATTCCCGGCTGAAATGTTGTTGCCTCTCACTTTTGCTGTCAACATCTTTAAATCATTTACATTGCCAAAATTTGAAACAAATTTTGGAAACAGATGATACAATTTTGTAATATATATGAACTTCTATTTGTTTCATTTCTTCATATTAGTGATGCACAAATTTATGTCATAATATCCTAGTGATGGTTTTGATCTAACTTGAGCTTACTGTGCCTTCTTGCTGCATCATAACACTGTTCTTGGGTTAGGGATGCTCTTCCATATGAAATAAATTGGTCTTCCTAGTTTATACGACTCCAGTTTAATTGCAGTGCCTGCCTTTAGTTGTTGCGTGACTGTTTAATTTCAAATTGAGCACGACTGACTCCTGGAGCGATGAGCTAAAGCCGGTTGCTGTGAGCTGAGATCTAAGTTGCTTTTAGGGGAGGTGAAAGGACTTCTTGGAGAGAAGGGGATGACTTTAATTGGTGGTATGTGTGGGCACTGTAGAGCTATATAAAATTGCTAGAGCTCAAACTTCTCATTCTCTGCCGGGAGAAAATTTGATGCCGTCATTGGCACAGACATTTTGAGTCCATGTTCGTGCTTGTAGAATATTCAGAATGAATCATGTACTCTGAATGCAATGCAAAATTATTTGCAACACAAATGTGCACATGCTTCATACTCAGAGACATTATTCAACAAAAGAGGAATGTAAACCAATAGATATGGTAACAGGCCTATATGTTTATCTTTTATTAGCTCACAATATCATACCTAATACAATGTGTTAGAACAGGTGACTGTAAGTTTGTAACTTTCTTCTTTTGGGGGTTTAATATGCCCTAATTCTGTTGGTTGCAAGAGTGAACTTCATTCTCCCAAGACAGCAAGTTGACCTGTTGCAGTGGTAGCCATGTTGTTTAAGAGTTGGAGTTGGGTCCCCTGCGCTTTCCGAACGTGGGCACCACGTTGACAAAGCGGCGGTTGTACAGCATGCGGCGCTTGGCCCGACCGGTCTTCTTCTTCTTCTTCTCTTCGGGATCAACCTGTTGAAAATACAATGTGTAGCACTTGGATGTAAAAAGTAAAATCCAATGCATCATACGGCAAAAACAAGTATGGCTGCAAGTGAAGGTCTCGGCTATGGCTTAATATTATCACACGTGTCCATGGGAACTGGATGCAGCTGTTAGCCACTGGCTTACGTTCCATGGCACGTGTTTTTGGTAGCCATAGCTGAAACTCTGATCAGAATTTCAAATGGGTCCATAGTCAGTATAAACACCAGTCATCCATATGCAGTCAACTCATGTCATAGTAAGATTGCTGGGACAACAAAAATACCGTTTTTTTTTTTAACTGAACGGTGTTGTTATAAAAGGACTGGAAAAACCAAGAAACAAATGAATTCAGGATGATTGGGAATTATGAATTTGGTTTTCAAAACAGGATTTTGTTATGAAAGTGCTCTGTATATCGAGGGTCTAATGAACTGACCTTCGGTGTTTGACCCTTGACCTTTCCAGCACGAGCCAGGGAGCCATGAACCTTTCCTGTACAAAAACAAAATACAAAAAGTATTGTAAAACAAAATTTAGATATTTCATATCTTCAATTCACAGAACAGTTGGTAAAAACAAGCAAACTAATAGCATTTCTTTCTCAAAGTAATACAATTAATATGAATTTAAAAAACACAATTCTGTTCATCTTTTTTAACCCGCCAGAAAAATTTCACAATGATCCCATCAAGCATGATCTCTCAGAAGAGCAAATTCAGTAATATATTCAGCACTAATGACTTGCTAACAATTTCCACAACACAGCCACCTAGTGCCGACAGGAAGTCTGATATCTTTTGGGCATCTGCTCAGCAATGGACATCCTATTTGAATCCTATCTGAATTTATCTGGAAGTCTCAGTAATACTGGCACCCTGTTATTTGACTCAGGACAATTTAGATGTCCATTTCTCAAATATTAACTAATCTGTCACCTCCAAGCATGCGCATGGACAACTCCAGGGTGGCATGCTCGGTGACACCGTAAGCCGACAGGGTCTGGTCATCCTCCAGGACAGTAACACCGGTCATCAGGAGCTGGTCAGCTGGGGAGATGCCCTCCAGGCTCTCCAGATGAAGCTAGACATGGAGTGGTAGATGGTAGACACATGAAATGCTACTGATGGTGATTTCAGTAGTTTTTCATACACAACATTTGCTGAGGTTCATAAATTGGGAAGATGGGCAAAGCCAAAGGTTTAAACACTGTCTAACCAGCTGGCAAAGAAATTTGATCACAAGTAAGAAATATGGTGAGCAAAGAATTCTGCAAGGGAACACACCGTAAATGTCAGACGCAACAAACTGCCTATGCACATGAGGTTTATACAGGTCATGCGCCATTCATTGAAGAATGTGATGAACTTCCCAAAATATGTGCAATTTCAACACTTTGAACAACGGCGACCTGGGCATAGGTTGGAGACAGCTGGTGTAAATACAAGCCCACTATGCTGGGCTGTGTTTAAGCATTGGAGACAACTTGTCATTACATTTCTCTCTTAATCACTTTAGACATGTTCACATGTGTAAGTGTAACTCCCAATTAATTAACACATCAATATGTTGAACTTGTTTTTGCTTGCTAATTCCTGTTGAAGTGGGAAAAGTACTCTGGTGTAATGCCTGCCTCTCAGTCTGCTTACCTTGAGATCGTGGACAGACTCACTTCCAGTCACCTCGAGGGTGTGGATCTGCTGGCCTTGGACAAAAAGCTGCATGTTGCTTCTGTGGATCAAGCAAGAGAACATGCACGTGTCAATGACTTGTTTCAGTAACGCCAGTAATTTTACTGTCTATATTGAACATTAGCTGAGCAGTCTTTTGACTGAAACTAACATCATGGTGGCAGTAACTTCAGGGGTTCACGTTCTGGTTTCTAGAAATGGAATTTCACAAATGCTATGGCTGCCGAGTTCATGGTGGCACCAAAAGAACAGTAACTATGATAATCAACCAAAACCTAAACCTGTTTCTGACCACAATAACGGCAAGTCACAACACACAATGTGAGACCATCGGCGATAATGTCTTTGTCAATTCACACCACCCAGAATTGCTCACATTCTGCCATCTTCCTTCCCGCACACAAGCTTTGTTTCATTCCCGTATCAGCAGTTTCCCTAGAAAAGGGAATTCTTTACCGTCATTTATCAAAGACTCAGCTGTTTCTGACTCCCTCCCTCAATTCCTTAGGGCCCTCAAGCAGGCTTTCTTACCAGACTTGTAACTCAATCTATTCTATTTTTTCTGTCTGTCATTTTGATCACGTGTGTGGGGACCATTATTTTCTTTGTTCTGTATAACTGTTAATTGTTAATTTTAATGTTATGTGCGAGGCTGCATACCTGCGGGTAATAGTAGTTTATTTTACTTTTGCAGTCCCTGACCCACATAACTGTTATTTGTCTTGTTATGTATTCGGATTTTTGTCCCTGGTCCCTGCTACTGCTTATATTTACTTGTATGTGTGTTCTGGTTGTTTTTATGTACATGTACTTTTTGTTCAACTTTGTTTGTTTTCATGATGGTCAAATAAATAATAATAATAACAATACAGCGTGTCACCAAAAGGTTGCTAGGAAAAGCCATTTTGCACATTTACATTTCCGTAACCAGTTGCCAAGTCGGTCAAGACTGGTAAATCTTAAAAAACAAAGAAATACGGACATCACTTATTCTCCCTTGCAGTGGTTTGTAACTTAGCCATCAGAAAGTGATAACATGTCCTAAAATGTCAAATTTGACCTGTCTTACAGGGTTTGTATGTAATATCTGTATGGAATTCTTTCCCAATTTTTTTTTTCTTCACAAAACCGATGATGTGTTTCTGAGAACTTGCAGCAGTAACAAATGTACATGTAGGCCTAGTGCTACAAGTACTGGCCTTCCCTGCAAAATTGAGTGGAAAAAGGCCACCAACTAGTGTGTCATGAAGGGAATTATCGTCACGTCCTCCCTATCCACTTCACCCCATTGCTGGATGTTACAGCCCTGAACAGATTTGCCTCATTTCTGCTTGCCCATTCATGCCATTATAATCTTTCATGTTTTCTCTGAGTTTAACTCCAGAAACTTGTGAGCCAAGTCGGCCGTGAAATAAAAAGGTTTGGGGCTAAGTGGAGAGAAGCAAAGTGCCCAACAACCAGTGCAATGATGTAGGCCTTTAATGTAATGCCTACAAGTGGATGTCGGACAACTCAACTGTTTACCAACTCAATTTGGGACAACTCGACTGGTAAGACAACTCAACTGTTTACCAAGTCGTCCATTAAGACAACTCAACCGTGCAAGGTATGAATATGACGGTGTGTGGGGTATTTAAACCGTGTTTCTGGAAAGAAATTGTCATACAGAAATCACTAGGCCTAATTCTTCTCAGAATTGAACAATTTGCCATCTGAGAGCAATAATACCTCCCAAAAAGTCAAAGTTAGGTATTCACTTAGAAACCAATATCGCGTTGGCCTAAAGTTTTGATTTGATTTATTCACTATCTCCATAAAATATTATTACACAAAGTACAAACTAAATTAAAAAGCAAACTAAACGATTCCCAAATGTGGAAATAGGCCTGGCATTAGTACGGTAGTTCTGAAGTAGGGATAACGCAAAAAAGTTAAATTGACTTATTTCCATTGCGGTCCCAATGGAATTCTTTCCTGAATTTTAAGTTCTTCAGTCAAAATCAGCACTCATTCTTGTGTGCAAAATAATCACAGTTTGCTCTGCATTACAAAAACACTCCAAAACATCCCTGCACGCAACTACCACCACTGTACCAGACTATACGTTACGTTCCGCCTCAAGGCTTACTTTCTGATGATTAACGTAAAACATTGCATTCAAAATAAATCTGTAATAAAATACTCACGACACAAAAACTAACAGAGAGTGTATTCCATACAACGGTACCTACACTTTGACTAAATAACAGTGAATAGATAAGGTTGAGTTTTGTTACAAATCGTGGTGAAATGAAAGAGAAAATTTCCTCACGTTGTGCAAGTTTCACGCTGCAAAAGAAAGAGGGCGCTGTAACGCACTACTGTCGCATTTTGCACCGCGCCGTTTGTTGTGGAAATGATGCGCCGGGTACCAGTGATGCGGGTGGGCTGGCAAAGGAAGGGGGGGCAGAGTATTGTGCTTTTAAGCATTGTGGTTTGCTATGATAATTTTCATTTTTTTAAAACAAAAGTACAAAAAAAAAGGAGATGAAAAATACAGAACTGCAAACAAAAAAGTTGGATGTAGCAAGCACAGGGATTTAATTGAGGGAGGTATTCGCGATTCACAAAAGACATATGACTGTGATGAGCCCAGCTAAATCCAGTTGGTTATATCATAGAGGAATAAACACATGGTTATATTTCTGTCGTTATTATTTAGTTTTCGAGGCCCACAGTGGAAAACTGTACACATTTTTTTGGCCAAACCGTCTCGTGAAAATGGGCGCTGCGCAAGAACAGTGAGTTCAATTTTCACAAAAAACAGTTTCAAAATGACCGCAAAGAGTTACTCTAAAAGGCTCAGCCCTGAAAGTTTTGGAACACTAACAACACCACTGCAGCGATATTAGAAAAAATGTTTGTGGGGAAGGGATGGATTCCGCCCAAGATATTTGGATTAAAAACACTTAGTGATGGAAATACAAATTCATGCTGTCTTAAAAACCATTAAAAACATCTAACTAAATAAAATTACATCAAGTTCACTATTGCACAAATGCACTATTAAATACAACCTCACCAGACCGATGATTCATGAAATAGAAGATGTATTTCAACTCTGTGCATTGGTATGACCGAATGTGCACATATTCCTCACTTCCTTTAATGTTTACATCTGTCACGATCATAGTGCTATTTCTTTTCCTTGCGATCCCAAATTATCTGCTTTTAATTGTCAGTAGTGCAACATTTTGTGAAATGATGAACGAACCTCAGACATAAGTGGATCATCTGCGCATGAAACGAGCCATGCACTACGTACTCTGTCAGTTGAGTGTGGAAAGCGCCTCCTTTCAGCCAATGTACAGAATAAACGTGATTCTGCATGTTTTCAATTGTCCTCCACGTAAAAGGGTCCGAAGAAAAAGAAGTCTCGTACAGCACGAGGGCGCTGTTGACTGAGAAATCAAACTTGCGTAAGTCCTTCATAATGACACTCTCGGCGTTTTTGAGTGAAATCATAACCGTCCTACAACTAACTGTTTGTTTGTCTCTTTGCATGTACATAGGTCCCCCCAAAATCAAATAGATTGTTCAAAACCTCAGAAAAACTAAAATAAAGAGACCCTTATTATTTGTCCTAAAATCAGGCTGCTAGCCTGTTGAAGAGCGCCATAATCTGCATGCAGTATCCAAACCTCAAAGCGAACCTTCTGAGCATCACGTTTAGGCTGAGGACCAGCCAAACTAAACTTGTCGCTTTTTAACGAGTTAACTGGCGATCCCTGACAAAAAGTGCCTTCTGTCTCGCCATCTCACTGCGCCACAGGTCGATTGCAGTTCTCATCCCCTGAGGTGTGTTTTTGTTTTTACATGGTTATATAGTTTTAGAAGCCACCACGTTTCGAAATGTGCCAGTGCGCGAATCCAACAATTCGGAAACTTTTAAATTAATGTATTAGTTAACTGTGCGCTATGAGGGAAAATAGTAACAGGTAGTTTCGATCTTTGCCAGGATAACAGCTGTGTTCTCTCAAAAGTCACCTCAAACGCTGCAAATTGATTGGGGATCGCTGGCTTGGGAGCCTACGGAGAGATTTCTTTCATGAAAAGAATGTGAATAAATTATACAGAGTAAATATTTTGAACTGTCTACGATCGATACTGTCTGCGACCGCAGGTCACTTGACGTTATTTGGATTCTACGTTGAGAGTGCATTGAGAAGAAACGAATGAGCCGAAAATCTATCTCAAACTTTTGCAAAAGTGCGCGACATGCAATTTGCACTGAACGCGCTGCCATCCACAGGTCCGCCGTGCCCACTGCTGGCCCACGCTCTTTAAAATACGCGAAAGGCTGGTGGTCTGTGCGTTTATGCGTCTGCCGGGGTTGAAGAAAAACTCCAAACATTACTGTTGCTTTGTCTATTGGCTTCTTTTATGAAAGACACAACCCCGCAAGCCACTAAGGCCATGATGATTCGGTCAAGCCACCGTGGCAGAGTTCAAAATATGCACCACATGCAATTTCTCAGTCGACTTCGCTTCTTTCCAGGCAAGGTATCAGCCAGGCGCGCCTCATACTGCTCAGTGAATGTCAACCTGTAACGTTTGGCGGCACAAGCACAATTTGTGCCTATGCCAGCAACGTCATTACAAACTCTGAAAATTTCCAGAAATGACGAAAAGTGCATAGGGCTTGTGTGTATTTCTCCAACTCAATTCACCACCACGGAAACTCAAAAGCAAGTGAGTCGTCACCGGGACAGAACCGAAAATAATCGAGTATTATGTGACGTTTGAGATAATTAGAAGTGATTTACCGGCGAGGGCGCTTTCCATTAATTAAAACCACACTCAAACGCAGGTTACACTTAATCAAATACACGCGATATAAAACTGTGCAAAATCGGACCGCCTGTTGACTCTCACGAAGAAGTTGGCCTCCGGTTTTTCACTGGTAATTCAAGATTATGGCCAGAAGGTCACTTTTCGTTTCAATTTTATGGGGGTTAGCCACGAATTTTTTTTTATTCGCCTTTCAAGGAAGATACTCCCAAAATAGCAGTAAAACTGCGCTCATTTCTGAACAGTAGCCGCCCGCCTCTATCTAAAATAGGCCTGCAATTTGGGGCTTTTTGTGAAAGAAACACCCCGAACTGGAAACTATCAGTCCCAAATTCGGGATTTATAGAAATATTTCTATGATCCATCCTGGTTTTGGTCTGTCTTGTTGTAAAAATCCCGATGGATCGCAAAATAATATCCATGAGCTCGCGCGCAGAAATACAACGATTTGGTGGAATGCACCCCGCAGTGCTCACATAATACTGTGATATGAAAAAATCAAGCCGTTCCTCATCACGGTTGCTGATGGATGTTTACGTTTGCAGTACCCCTAGAGCGTATTTGTTCGGACGGTGTGAGGAAAAAAAATTGACTTCTTTTGACTAAAACACGACATGATTTTAAGGAGTGCAAAATTACTATACCTATAAATATATTACCTAGTGGAACAATTTAACAACAATTATGTTGTATTATCGAAGCATGGATAGCTAGGCCTAGTTGTTATCAAATCATTATGCGAAGTGAAGTCTGTAAACTTAACAATACGTAAAAACGAGCATCCCACTCGCTAAACTTGTTGTGCAAGTCTAATTTCGATCACAGAATGCATACTGCCCTCGTGCGGCATTAGTCCGTCTTTTGTTCGGATCCTTCGACTTGAGTGAGGCGATTCGGTGTGCATGCTATGTTAGTATGCGACTGTTTTCGAGAGCTTCAACCTCCATCAGTTCGACATCACTTAGGAAAAAAATATTCTCTTTATAAATGATTTTTAAGCTGTTGTGAAAGTCATGAGTTCTATTGGCACTGGGGTAAGTAAGGAAGGAATAGTGATGAGAAGACTGCATTTTTGAAGAGATTGTTGCTCCCATTTTACTAGTTAGCAAACATGTTAATGCTGGCTGCCAATTTTTGACTAAGTTGCAGGCCTATATTGTATGGAAGCATGTACCAGAGTGGTAAGTTAGTTTAGGTACTTTATGTCGTCTGCTTGGGGTTTTTGTCTTAATACCGGGCCTGGGCGGCAAGTATAGCATATATCACTGTGTATGGAAACTTCAGTCATGACCACCCTCGTTAATGCGTTACTGAGCTGTCTTGGAAACATTAATTAAATTTTCCATTAAAATGATATGGGAGCACAGAAAAGCAATTTTACTATATGCGCCGCCGAGTAGGAACAGGTCAATTCATACCTTAGACAACTCGTCTCAACATAAGTCGTGCCGTGTCGCACCTTTGATAACTTGTGCCTCAAGTAAAGACAACTCATACCTTCACGTACGAGACAACTTGTACCTTCACCTGAGCACAGAAATCAGAGCTTGCTCAGAGCCAAAAACTCCAAGAGTGGAAGACATTATTATAGCCTCCAACATGTTCTGCAGATGGTGCGCTGTGTGTATGCTGCATAGGCGTCGCGACCTCAACAGTTGAGCTGACCCAAGTGAAGTTGGTAAATGGTCAAGTTGTACGGCATCCGTTACGTAAACTAACGGCACAAATGTCCGTGGCAGGCACTAGATGCAGAAAATCATGCTGGTGATCTCTCCAGGAGATTTATTAAGATGTTTCCTTGATATGTTTGTCAGATACATGTATGATCCTTAAACATGCTGAAAAAGAAGAGCAAAAAAGGCACAACTGAATTGCTAATATGAAGGAACAAGTGGTCTTAACTCGACGTACGAGTTGTCCAAAGTATGAGTTGACTTGAAAGCACCCAAGCAACTTGGACCCTAGAAGACTGTTTCGGATTTGAAGGGGAAATTTCTCTTTTCTTCCCGAATGTGAGTAGCCTAAACCTTATCATCATTTGGAATCTCAGATTCTCATTTGATCCTAAGCCAGGCTCCTTGGACAGTTTAAGGTCCATTGTGGAGGTGAATTCGGAGGATTTTGATTCGGGTACAAGTTATTTTGAGTGAAATGAAATTAATGGAAGCAAAAGCCTATGGAACTTACTTGGACTCTACTATCGCCCGACCACGTCCAAATGTTAAAAAAGGCAATCTGGAGAGTCCAAGTTACTCGGACTTGCCTAGGGTCAACTTTCAGGCTCTGTATATGATAAATTTCGAGACATTTGTTCAAGAATGTTACTTTAATGTTCGTGAACACCCCCTTCCATTTTATGGTATATTCCTTGTGCAAGTGGTCGAGAAGAATCTCCTTCCATGGACTTGGTGCATGCGAAGCGAGTTCTGCCTGACACGGGCATTCAGGTGCCGGCATGCTTTACACAGCGGGCATTATCAAATCGCAGTGGGCATTATCAAATGTTAACCCTCCTTTGGTTTTACAGCACAAATGTGCACAAATGCCCACAGTCACTGGTGAGCATGTATTTTCTATATGGAACTCAAACATGCACAGGTTCAGTGTGTATACAGTAGATTGTCGGCACAAAA